CGGGGGGCGGGGGGTCCAGCGTCTTTCTTAAGGACGCTGGACCGTCAGAAGCCAAACTTTTGGACCTGTGTTTTGGGCCAAAAGAACTTGGTTTCAATTTCGTTCAAAAAAAAAAAATTAAAAAAAAATCCATTTTGACGAAATGGCAGTTACTAAGGCAGTTGAACTGATGGCGACTGAAGACTCCGGGAAACAGGTCCAAAATTAATTTTGGCTTCTAAGGGTCCAGCGTTCTTAAAACGGGATCACGGGATGGCTTGACTTGTCGCGGCCGCGGCCAACACCCCACCCAGCGGGCCAGCGGGTCCTGCCAAACCGGCCAAGCCGGCCAGGAGGGGTAGCCAACTATCTCAGCTGTGGTGGACACTGCAGCAACCCCTTTACCCGGCTGCAGGCAGCCGTAGAGTAATGGGGGGAACCCACGACCTCCTGAAAAAAATACCAGCCGCATGCTCAACCAACTGAGCTAGGCCGCTGTGAATCATTCTCGAATCACATGACAAAATAGTGTTTTTTTTTTGTTTTTTTTTTTTGGAAAGCTTGGAAATTTTATTACAAATCCGATTGGAATGAGGCCGGGGACCTCACAATTCGACCCGGAGTTATCCTGGCAGCCTCAGCCAGTTTCGCTTACCAGCTTAGCTGGACAATAAAGACGCCTAGTCCAGATGTGTCCATCAAAGCACTGTTGGAAAATTGGAAATGGGGTCCAACGTCCCAATCTTGAACGCTTTCCAAAAATAAACTTTAAAGCTCAAAGTAAAAGGCAGCTGTCTTAAGAGCACTAGCTTCCATGCTGTCAGTGTATCTACTGTTATATCTGTCTACTGTAATACAGTCGGACTGAGTTACTCACCAACCACAAAATAGGTCCTAATTGTCCTATTGTGACTGGCTCCCTGCCAGTTATCCAATTCAAATCCTGTGGAGTTCCGGCGGACCTAACCCAAAATCGGTCCTAATTTTCCTATTGTGACTGGCTCCCAAGACCCAGTGATCAACAACTTCTCATTATCTTTCCAAAAATTCCTAGAGACAGTCTGAAATCTCCCCTCTTGTGGGAGTCTGGTCCTGTGTTCTGTCCCGCATGCAGCCTACCGCGGCTGCCTGTGTATCCTCTTGTGGTCCTGGATCTTTGTCAACCTGTTTGCCCTGCCAGCCAGCCAAGGCCAACAGGTAAGTTTACCCTGCCGCCCCTGCTCTCTACGTCTAGAGAAACGATCCTGTCCTTGAGGCCCCAGGTTTTCTTCAACCAGAGACTGCTTTTCCCTGAAGGTTTTTTTTTTTTTTTTTTTTTTTTTTTTTTTTTTTTTTTTTTTTTTTTTTTTTTTTTTCCCTGGGCTTTTTTTTCGGTCGCTGAAAAATAGAGCCCGAAGGTTTATTTTTTTTCGTCGTTTACTTAGTCGTTTTCCGTCCCCCACTCCCCCCTTTACCCCGGCCCCCTTTT